ATATTCGAAGCGAATATATAGCATGCAAGGAGATCGCCAAAAGCGTTGCATACCGAAATCCGATCTACGAACAACTACAAGAGATTAAAAACTATGAAGGAGACGACGGCAAATTGTCATACCTAGAAAAACAATACCTGGAACATCAAAACGTCTTCCAGACCATTAGTCCTATCCGAACGGTTAAAGCAAATTCCAGTTCGGACGTGATCGAGATCCACATGAATGTGGGGACCGCATTCAAAAAACAGAACCCGAAGATGATGAAACAAATAGTCCTAGGGCTAATAAACGGAAAGTACAGATCCAGAAATAAGATTTACACGGATGCTTCGATTACGGATGGAACTTGCGGGGTAGGAGTTTTTGTGGAATCCATGAACAAAAGGATTTCGCTGAGGCTGGAACACCAATCATCGATTATGACTGCTGAGCTGGTAGTAATTAAGGTTGCAACAGAAGAGATCAGAGGAAGTCGACTAAAGAACGCTGTGATTCTCACGGATTCACTGTCATCTTGCATGCTGTTGGATCATAGCCAGAGGCATCTGGAGAGAAGCGACATAGCGGACGAGATCATTCGAACATGCCGGGAATGGAAGGTGGACATCCAGTGGATTCCAAGCCATATCGACATCAGAGGTAACGATCTGGCCGACTCGTTGGCCAAACATGGAGCGCAGCACGGCGAGCTTCTAAAGCACCCTATATTGTTGAAAGACGCATATTTACAATTATTGCTGAAAACAAAAGAGACATATATTTGGTATAAGGATTATGCCAAGGAGAAAGGAAGGAAATTCTTTGAGATCCAGCCGGAATTCAAAGAAAAGCCATGGTACTACAACTTACCTCTCAACAACATAGAAACGAGAACGCTAAACAGACTGCTAACCGGACACGATTATAGTAAATATTGGCTTCATAAAATGAAACTGAGAGACAGTCCAAATTGCGATATATGCAACGTGACTGAAACTGCAGAACATGTTGTATTACATTGTAAACGATACACTCAAATGAGGAACATACATGGCTTTGATGGTAAATTTCAAACCATCAAACAGCTATTCGAAGCGAAGGACATCGGATTCCTTCGAGAAGTTGTGGATTTTTTGAAGAAAACCCAACTAAACATATGAAAAAAAAAAAGAATGATCAAAAAATAGTGTAAACAGATAAAACCACGACTACCTATCAAAACAAAATACAACAAGGCAACGGCTGATTAGACGATCGGCTATCCCGCCTACTGAGTCCGATTCTCTGCAACTGCAGCCATAGGGGTGGGCTGTCAAATCGACGTAAAAGAAATAGATGGATTTATGGTCACTGTCACCTGTCCAACCAAAACAGAAGAGAAGAAGAAGAAGAAGGAACACAGTGGCGTGCATAATGATGTGCTAAGCTGCTAGGCCGCTTTTTGAGTTTTGTCTTTTTTGCCAGCTTTCTTGCCCAAATACTCCTCTGTGCATTGGCGTATTTTTTCCAAATGTATCCGGGATGCTGGCTCTCGTAGAGGCTTTCCTGGTTTCGCCAGCGATACTAATTTCTTTATCTTACACCTATCTGGGAAGTGACCTTCATCTTAAACATTTATGAAGCACCAGCCTGAACATATCCGGGAACGCCAGGATCGCCGTTTTTAAAGCCACGTTGGGGATTCTATCCGGATCGGGCACTTTCTTCACGTTTAATCTTTTTACCACTGCAACGATTTCCTTATTGGTGGAGATTTGGAGACAAAAAAGTACACTAACAAAAAGTTCAACAATTTGACCAAAAGTTCTTGTTCTACGGTTTTTGTCAGTTTTCAAGTGTACATGGTTTTTGAACATTCCAAAAGTTTGCATTTTTCATAAGCTTTTTTTACTTTTTTTTAACACGAGCAAGGGCATTTTGAGATATTTGGGGTCCTTTAAATATTAAAAAAATTTACTTGAAATTATCAAAAACATTTCTATAAATATTATTACCAAAAAACATTAGTTTTTATACAACTTGGTATCAGGCGTCATTTCAATCAGAAAAATTCTAAGAAATTGAAAATTTAACATTATTTAATTTTACAAGTACAGCAAAAATGTGAATCGTTGCCCATAACATACAATTTTGCAAAGTTTCATGCATATCGGAGAAAGTTGAGTTTTTCCGAATCGTCATTGGGTGTTGAATTTCACCAATGACTTAAAATAGCTTGGAATCCGTTTTGGCCCGTTTATGTGGTCAAAAGGCACAGTTTTTTTTTTAATTATATTAATTTTATATATTTTTTTTACTATTTAATTTTGATATTTTTTGGGGGCCAAAAGGCCATTAACTCTTCGGGCACCACACTAAAAATGGAGTCGACAATTTTTTCAAAATGATGTATCTCAGTCGCTATTTATCCGTTTTCAAATGTTTTAATACCGTTGGATAGGTCACATCCTAATCTTTTCATTAGCTTGTTATTCACGCTCCCTGATTGTGTCATAGCTTCATAAAATCAGGATTACCAAATTATAACAAAATTTTCGGAAGGTCATTATTCATTCTGTAGGGCGATTAAAAATGTGTGCATGGTGCATTCTATTAGATACTTTTATAGGCTTTCAGGAAAAAATATAAAAGGACAAACCGATCAACTTCAACTATCAAAAAGGAAAATTAATACCCTTTCCAACAAGATAACAACATAGTTGAAGATGCTAATTTCAAATAACAGACTGTAGTGGTAATTTTTATACGATAGATGGAGTAGATGAAAGCATAGAGTTGATAGTTCCGTTAGAGTACGGCAGTGTGAAGATTGCATATAGATATTAGAATAGTCAAAGTACATAACTCTGGATGGGAGCATACCATCAATTACTGTCAATGGTCGAAAGGTACAGTAGCAGCACCTACCCCACCCGTGTCCCCTCGAGATCGTCAAGTCGACGATGACAAGAGCACATATCGTGGTAGGGGTAAACAATAGTTGCAATTTCCAAAACCTACGACTGGATGCCTTCCTTCAAATAACAACTGAAGTGCGGTAAAAATCGGTAGAACTGTTTCAAACACACAGTTGGTACTTGAGCGGGTCGGTTTTCATCTCTTTTTGCCAGTGGTGGCGGGGGGGGGGGGACACCCCTCACCATCCCTCTCCAAAGGGGGAGTTTGGTAAAGAGAGATGAAAAAACCGATTTGTACCTTCCTTAAAAGTTGTTCTAGCTCGCTATTCTAATATCTATATGCAATCTTCACACTGCCGTACTCTAACGGAACTATCAAATCTATGCTTTCATCTACTCCATCTATCGTATAAAAATTACCACTACAGTCTGTTATTTGAAATTAGCATCTTCAACTATGTAAATCGTTGACTTCACGTAGAAGTAAAACTAAAACATATAGTCAAAGTAAGATAACAACATCAAAAATACATGAAAATTTACCGAAGATATTACAAAAATAGTGAAAAGTGTGATTTAGGTGTGGCAGTCGAAGAGTTAAGCTAATTGACAACTATCCCAAATTATTATTTAATACTTATTTAAACTTCTCTGCGTCTTCATTATACTCGTATATATGTATTCTTGATCATTCAATTGAGCAACTATTGAAAAACAATTAAAAGTTTTTGGATTCGATCATTTGAGGCAGTAGTTCTAGTACGTTTAACAAAAACACAATTTTGCATCTCAAAACAAAACAGTTCCACGCCAACTGACGAATTGATTTTAATTTTCCCTCTCCAAACTCCATGAAACTTCGCATATTTTTTTTTTATCCTTTATTTGAGAGATTTAAAAAAAAAAAAAAAAAAAAAAAAAAACTTTGCATATTTGTTCACTACACGGAGATGAAAAACTGCCCAAAATTTAGTACTTTTCCCTCAATTCCGGGGTTCTGCCCAATAACCCAAATTTGAGTAAATCGCATATAGTAGTTTTCATTTAACACCAGCAAAAAAAAATTACCTACCTTTAAGTATATTCTACCCAAAATTAAGTTTAATTCACGTAAATTTGAGAATATGCAATTTACTCAAAAGTAACTTATTGGGCTGAACTATATCGTTGGGTCGAATCTCTTGTTCCTTTATTGACAACAATAACGAGTGCAAGTGAGAGGCTGAAGTCAATATTAAGTAAAAAGAACTCAAATTTTGGGTAGTATTTTTTCTCCGTGTAGGGGTAATGAACCATATATGTGGCAGAATTCAGCCATTTTGATTGATTTCCTTTATTAAGGAGATTTTCAGCCACAGGCTAAAAATGCAGCTATTTTTATTGACGCCTATTTTGTTCAAAATGGCGTGTTCGCTATTTTTGAATAATTCATAGCACGAAAACGGCTCATCTAATTATCTAATTGAATTGACGTTTGACACAAAGTTGTAGGAAACTGGATTGCCTTTTTAGATTGCCTGGGGCGTTTGGTTTTTACCACATTCTCTCCTAGGACCTTCTGTCGAGACCTGAATCCTGATACTCTCTCACTTTCCGGAAGAGTACAGCGTACGTCGTTTCATCCTTTACCTCGACAATCAGAGCGTCGTCCTTGCTTCTTTTCTTACGAGACCACATTGGCAACAGACGGACAGGTTCCGGGTAATCATGCGGTACATCAAATCACATGAGAAAATTGTGCGATTATTGGCCGTCATAAATAGCACCAAAACTTTCAACGTAGTTTGCGAGCCCCTGGAATTTGAGTTGAGTTGGTGTGACAAACCAAAATATGTTGATTTTTTTTTTAACCAGACCCATATTACTCAAAAATTCTCTGATTCCTATTCTCGATCGATTCTCGTCTGGTTTGGTGAAGAATCTTCTCAGGTTAAAAATTTGCTGGCTTCATTAGGAACTATTCTTCTTGCCATTCTATGCACAAACTTTAAAAAGCTCTCAATAAATGAATAATTAATTGGAATTTGTGATACTTACCTTACTATTTATTAGTTTGTTTTCCATCTCAAATCATGACCTGATTTACGAAACTTGTTACATTTTTTTGCTCATTTGTTACAGCTATTCCATTACTGTGCCATTGGTGCTCCGTACAACAATGTTCGGAAGGTATCACATACTTCCCATCTGTCGAACACGGCTCGCATGGCATCGTCACCGGAAAGTACGCCTCCTCCCGTCGAGAGAGACGAAAAACCTAAAGGTGGCCTATTTCCCAGCTTAATGGAGAAAACCTTCTTCCCTGGAATAGTGTCACAGGTCCCGAGTTACTTCACTCTGCCTGCGCGCCAGTCTTCTACATCGTTGGACCCGAGTGTGAAATCCTATCCGATTGGAATGCAGGATCTAGTGTTTGGTGAAGCTATCAGCCTTAAAGGACAGCTGGGCAGTGTTCTGCTGGCTGACACAAACATAAGCCTGAAAAGCTTATTCGAAGCTGGCCCTAGCATTGCCAACGTACTCGCTACGGATATGATCGAATCGTTCGACATGGCTTCCAAGTTTGTGTTTTGCTTTTCTCCGAGCGCATGCTACGACGGATTGTGTTTAGATCTTGCTCCAGGAAATCAGTACAATGGCCACGTGGTAGCCAACGTATCCAGTATATTGTCAATTCAGAATGCCATCAATGGAGTGGGAGGCATGATGGCTCTGTTACCAATTTTGGATAACATTTGTAAAATTCCCGCATGCGATATCCCTACATCGGATGAACTGCTGCCATTAACGCCGGTGGCATCACCCACTGCCACGAGGGAAGATTATTTCAGCGACTGGGAAGTACTGCAGCCAAATTCACTGACAGAAAACAAGATCATACAGAATCCCATAGCTTGTTTCATTTGTTTGGTGAGAAATTTTATCCACGGCAACGATCTAAACAAAGAAAGCTTCCTTAAGAATGAAGGCATTTCCCTCGTAAGCCAGCTGCTGCAGTCGTGTAACGAAGCGTGGTTTGATGTAAATGTCCTGATGGCAGTACAATTGTTGATCGAATCAATTCAAAATGAGATGCCCTCTGCCAATATGGACCTACTGCATGTGCTCTATAAAGATTTGGTGTTCAACTTTCGAATCTGGTCGAGGGCGCAATTCCAGATTGTCATCGGACACATTCAGTACATCAGTGCCATCATCAAAGATGATAGGAAATATTTTCGCAAACACTTCGGAACGCAATTTCTGCTGGATGTGGTCCAGGAGTTTTTCGCCGGCAGTTGTACCCTTCCAGCACAGGATGCCAAAATGGTGCGGGATTCATTGTTGAGGATACTTCGGTATTATATTCAAAAGGAAGTTAACATTAAGGAGGTAAGCACTTTTTATTACGATTATTAGTGCAATCTGCCACTAACTAAATTCATATAATATTTATAGATTTCCTCGCTGCTTATATTTTTGACGACAGTCAAGTCGGAGCCGGTTGTGGTGGAGATCATTGAAATGCTAACAGCCCTCATTGAAGGAAAGCACGTCAAGGATCAGATCTTCCTGTTGATGTACGAACCACACATGGCAGAAGCTCTGTATTCTCTATTCACGGATCGCCACTTTGGCAGCGATGTTCATGTACGGCTGCTAAAATTCATCAGCGGAATGCTAAATACCAAAAGAATCTCCAGCAAACACAAAGCAGCACTACGACTTTATGAAAGTTCAATCGAATGCAACAGTTTGTATCCTGGTTTGTTTTCGTTCATGATACCGTTCGATTTGGAACCGGATGTGATACTTGGTTTGCTAGATTTAAACCTTTGTTTAGATTCTGAAATGGGATACGCTGGGGCATTGTGCTTGATCTATCATGCTAATTTGTCGAGTTTATCATTGAAACTGGAGATCGCCAAAAGGCTAATGACCAGTACATTTACCAAAGCAAAATCACCTCAAATGATTGCCAAACAAGTGGGATGGCAGGAATCGATTGCTCGGTTGTTGATCAAGAAACCTGTTGAAAATCGATCCCTTTCGGAGAAAGAAAATGAAAAGAGACAAATTTTGACTGATATAGAAGAAATTGTTAAACTGGAGAGTGAGTCATCGATTGGTGTGGGTCAAAATGATTTGATTGTTTTCGACGATGAGACTATGGAACTGAAAGCTCAGGAAACCCCAAAACAACCAAACTCGTTTATGACGGAAGCAGCGTCCGCGATTGAAAACGAGATTAAAGAATTAGCCGACAGTGTACAGGAGGCCGTGGTTGACAATATCACATCGTCGATAACTTCGGTTTATTCGGCACTCAGACAGAAAACTTACGATATACAGGATACGTTGGAATCCTTAACGCTGAGTTTCGAGGAAGCTTCCGGTAGAAAGAAAAATTCGTCCTCCTTTTCCAGTAGCAGTGATGAGAATGTTTCTTTGGATGAATCATTAGCAGTGTCGTCCATGCGAGATGATACCCATTCGACCAGAAGTGCTGATGATTTAAACAGTAGTGCTACCGTTGGAACCGATGATCCTAATCTGAAGTGTTCTGAAGATAGTGATGAAGAAAATTTAGTGTACCTTGTGTCGAATATATTGTTTACCATTTTGTGGCGTGGTGTAGAAAATTCTAATGATTCGTGGAAGGAACGGGGACAAGTAATGGCATGTATAAATCTGATAGCGCTGAATAACGAGTTGTACTGTTCTCATTTAAGTTTGAGGCTTCGGATTCTTGAAATGGGTGTGCAAGCAGCTCTAATCGATTTGGGTGAAAATGCGCAGCTAGTCGTGACGCATCAGCAAAATGCAGCTCAATTACTAAGGCTCGCGTATGATTTAGTAGTGCTCGATCCGAATGAAGACGACTCGAAAAAGTGCTCGACTAAATTGTTAGATGGAGTGCTATCACTGTTAGATATCCTGATGGTGTTTCAGCAAAGCAGCTCAGACGATTGGTCTGAGATGTCCCATTTGTGTTTAGGTTTGCTACTGAAGTGTTCGCATAATCCAAACTCGGACATTGTAGCAATGGCTACTGCCAAATTGCATGCGCTGCTGCAAAATCGTATAAATCAAGATCCCGCGGAAATTGGATATTTGTTGTATAGTTTAAATCAAGCCATCAGTAGTGCAATAGAGGTGGGCAACTCCGAACAGTATTCGTTTTTAATTCCTGTGTTGAAAGCGTTGTTGGAAAAGTCAAGAATGGCTATCGGATTGACGACCAGTGCACCGGATCTACCTTCCACGTCCTCGGGACCTATCTTCTTCCAAAACTTTCAAATGTACTGTACGAGTAAGCAGTGGACCACATACATTGATAAGAAGGTAAGTGATATATACTCATGTTAAATCTGTGGAAAACTCACATTTTGTATTGTACATTGTGGTTTGGCTATGTAAAACCGGTCCATATTACGGCACCATAGTAATCCTTGTGCTAATGTATAGATTTCCTACATAAAAAATTTCTTGCTGTCCTGAAAACTTCTAATAGACGGGTCTATAGAAATAAGTACAATGGAACAAATCGGGTCTATCCTGTTTGGCATAATGCCGTTTGGCATAATACTTTGAAAAATGGTACTTGAAGCTGTTAACCTTTGCGTACCTAACGTCTAGATTTGGATAGATTTCAAATTTCAATTAGCTATAAAAACATCATTTTCTGTACAACAAGTTGCATTTTGACGGAGATCTAATCAAGCCTTTAAATCCGTCGAAAAAAATAACATTGGTTCAATACACCGGTCCACGTGTGTATGTATAAAATGGTTAGTGTCCTAGTAGAAGTTGCTAATATTTCAATGGGCCTAATTTTTATCAAAAATATGGTTAGGGTGGTTAACTAAAAATGAGGAATCAATTTTTTTTTGTTATAGGTGGTTACATTCTTCAGAAAAGTTTTCTGCTTTAAACTAGGGTGCCCCTAAAAATGGTTAGGGTGGTTAACTAAAAATGAGGAATCAATTTTTTTTTGCTATAGGTGGTTACATTCTTCAGAAAAGTTTTCTGCTTTAAACTAGGGTGTCCCTAAAAAAATCAGTTTTTTTTTCTAGCTATTTCCTATTTTGTTCCAAATGTTTCGGGAAAGTGGTTTTTAGGAGAGTTGTAGGGAAAATCATGGATCACATATTTGTTGAATAATGTGTTTGGGTATAACGCTTGAATATAGCTTGAATATAGCAACTTGTTGTCTAGTGCAAAAATGTAGGCTGTAACTAGTTCTAAAAGTTTTCCTTACACTAATGTAAAACATGTTAAAATATATAGCGGCGCCGGTTGTGTAGTGGTAAGCGTGATTACCTCTCACCCCAGGAGGCCTGGGTTCAATCCCAGTCGGCGCCACCGGGATGTTCTGAGGCATTTTGGTCCCCGGTCTATGAGTTGATGGGTCGATAGGTAGGGTCCAGGTGTGGGAGCTGCCTTCCTGGCGTCGGTAGCATTGGTGCTCAGCACGGAAAACAAGATCGACGGAAAACAAATCAAGGAAAAAAAAAGTTGAAATACAAAAAAATCTTTTTTTTTGAGGCACCCTACTAAACAAAGAATAGTTCTAGCATGGTCAAATTATGAGCTAGACATACATACGGTTTTTTCGGCAAATTTGCCTGTTAGAATTACCCATACATTTTGAATGTTAAGTTATTCCCAAATACTTTTTTCAGCAGAAAATTGCATCATACTACTTTTCTGAAGACCCGTTTTCCGAAACATTTAAAACAAAAAAGTTAGAATATAAACATGGATTTTTAGTAGGGGCACCCAAGTTTAAAGCTGGAAAATAGTTCTAGCATGGGTAAATGTATAGCTAGAAAAATGATGTCTTCTGTAAAATTGCTTGAAATATGTTTATGTACCTACTTCTTTGCTGAAGAATGTAATCACATATAACGGATACCCCTCACCATCCCTCTCCAACGGTAGTTTGGTAAAGAGAGTTGATTATCCCGATTCGCCCCTTCCTCAAAGTTGTCCTTGCTCGTTTTCTACTCTCTATATGCAATTTTCACACTGTCGTACTCTAACGGAACTATCAACTTTATACTTTAATCTTCTCATCTATCGTATAAAATGACCACTTTAAGTCTGTTATTTGGAACTAGCATCTTCAACTATGTAAAATTGTTAACTTCACGCAGAAGTAATACAAACATAAATATAGTTAAAAAAAAGATCGATTTCTGATTTAAGTTAACATGAGGTCCACCTAACCAGCATTTTTATAGAAAGCAGGTCAATTTAATTATAAACAACTTCTACGAAGACATTAACCCCCTCAAATGAATAGAAACGTATGGAATAATTTATTCCCGCCGTTTCAGCCCACAGTGCATTGTTTGACAAAGAAATAAACAAATGAAAAAAAAATCCGGTTTCCGTTGGGGTCACCCTCAGGCATTCTTCTGCTCTAAGATTCAAAAAAGCAAGCTTTGAATCTTAGAGCAATCTTTGAATCTTTGAGAATGAAATTTTACTAAAACTAGAGGCGGGGTAAGGAATGAAAGAACAACTTGACATCTTCTTGGCTTTCAGTCACATAAAATGGAAAATAGAGAGTTTCTACAGTTTCTACAGAAATCTATTATCCTAAGGAAAATGCAAAATACATTGCGCCGAAACGTCGGAAAGTAGAAACTCTCTGTCTTCCTTTTTATGTGTCTGAAAGCCATATCAAGAAATCAGATTATAATTACTGTTTATAATAAGTATATGTAAAGAAAAACATTGAATGAAGGATGTTACGATCAAAGTTTGGTTGACTTAAACTTGACGCATTTCTATTAATCGAGTATTTAAAAACCTGAACACCCCTCATTTTGTAGGTGTGTGCGTGCAGAATTACAGACATTTGCTCTTTAGTTCTAAAAGTGGCGTCCAAGCAAGAGGAGCTACACATAAACATTATACACGCGCATCACGAAAATCCGAACTACTTGCACGCCACGTCACGTCAAGACAGACCTTAAAAAGCTGGGACAGGAGCTTTATACGGCAACCTGGAAGGGGTGAGGTGGCAGACATGCTCAAGCATATGAACCTGTCGAAGTTCGCTAAGAAATATCTGGTTCGGTAGGCTATCAGTACCTGTGACTTGAAAAGCGGCATTTTTATTGCAACCGGAACCGACAACCAGGAAATTTACGTAAATCTGAAGAAGACCCATAAAACTATTGGAAGTGAGTAGCAGTTTAAGGGGGTATTCCCAATCTTTTGCCTTTTTTCGGCCTGTTTTTCAATTAATTTTTTTTCAAGGAAAATGAATAGTGATGCGCCTAACTCTTTGGGATTCTTGTTTATTGAACATTAAAGTTTACAAATAAATTTTTTTCGACATAAAAAAAGACATTATTGACGTCACAAAATGGCGGCAAACAGACCCCTGTTCGCCGCAAACGCCTGGACGGGCGAAGACTTTTCTCTGGAACGGCTTCATCTGAAACAGATTTCGTGATGAAATTAATAATCTGATAAGATTCTCTGGAGCTTCTCCCGTTGGCAGCAAAAAATCTTGCAAATTAACAAAATGGCGGCCATATGAAAAAACAGGCGATTTTTAGCCCGCTTTTTTGCAGCTTTAAGGTGCTTCAAACAATGTTAAATGTTAATATTTTTGGCTGAAAGTGGGAGAAGCTCCAAAGAATTTAATAAGGAACAAAATGCGCAAAGATTCAAGTCAATATCTCTTATAGTTTCTGAGAAAAATCTTCGCCCGATAAAAAAATGTGGTTTCGAGAAAAACGCGTTTAAAGTTTTGACTTTAGTTAAAACCATTTGGGGGTTCTTACCATTAGTCAGCTATGCCTGGACACCGAATTCGCTGATCGGAAAACGGCTTGGGGGGATGAAAGTATATAGTCTAAAGTACAAAAAAACGTGAAAAAAAAAAAATTTGATTTTTTGAAAAAAAAGATCGGGAATACCCCCTTAAGGAAAACTGGCGCTCTGCGGCGAACAAAGTGGATAAGGTGACTGTAAAATCTTATGGCAGGAGTTAAATGAAAAGCCTGGCAACTCGGATTCGGTCAACCAGAAGCTCAGCTGTATATTTTTAATACTAATTGAACATAAAAAATAATTTGATTTTTTAAATAAAAACTTTAATCAACCTACACGAATTCTTGTTATACCAAATTTTGCTCGTAACACCCTTTGAAGCGTCATTGTAAGCTTCAGGACAGACGTTTTATTTAATTAGCAAGCTTCATGATTACAGTGAGATCGGATTATGAACTTTATGGCAAGCCTTGTGAGGAGAAGCGTGATGATTACTCTAATTATTTTTTTGAAGCATGAGGCCATTAAAAAAACAGTATGTAGGGGAGGAGGGGCATAGTGAACAGGTGGGGCATAGTGAGCATCCCGCAATTTGGCTATGAATCTCCAGCTGCATGAAACAAATCAACTGGTAGTAGGTTCAATATCATTATGATATTGATCCTACCACCAACCAATTTGTTCCGAACGGCCGGAAGTCCAAGCTGGTGCACGGGATGCTCACTATGCCCCAGCTGTTCACTATGCCCCTCTTACCCCTACTGGTTTTCTTATCTTTTAAGTATAAGATTGAGATTACTCAAATAAGTATAAGATTGAGATTACTCAAAAACTAATATCATAAATATCACCTTTCCTAGTACATTTTTTGACAATAATTTCTACAGGGAACACTATGCTGACTTGGAGTGATAATTCAAGAACACATAACATTTACTTAAATATTAATATTAGGGGAAAAGTTGGCTTCGGCAATACCTTAACCTATTATCGTCAGGGGGGTAAACAAAGTCCCAGAACACTCAAATTTGGCCAATAGTTGCTCTGAAACACAATGTATCCACATGCCAAAATTGAGTTCTCAAGGACGTTGTTTACCCCCATGACGATAAAAGGTTAAGGTATTGACGAAGCCAACTTTTCCCCTATTAAATTCAGCGCTTTTTTGGGCAGAAATGCTAGTTTCAGTACTGAGCTATTCCTTTCTGTTTATTCAATTCACGAATTTGGATGGGAAAACCTGTGAAAACCCGCATGGAGCGTTTTACTCCAGGATGCATTTTGTACTGTTTTCATCTATTGGATTCTACCAAAACCTGGGTTAAAGTTCTCAAGTAACATTGCAAGTTTTATCGAGGTTTTAAAGCATGCTACAAGTCTAAATCATTGTCTACAGAACCCTCCTAAAACCAAAATTGTTACTTGGGTTTCGAGCCGTTTAAGCAAATTCAAAAAGACATCAACTGGCTAGCAAATTTCGGTGGAATAAATCAGTTACAACTCAAATTCCAACAGCTCCACTAACAAATGATATGGTCATAACAAATGCA